TCGTAGATAGTCGCTTTGGCTCGCATCAACAGCTACTACCGATCAATTGACGATATTATATAAGTAAACATAGAGATCGACAAACAACTGTCTTAGTTCTAGTGATAAACATCATCAAAAGAAGATCGATTGTGCTAATAAAATAAACAGATGTTTGAGCTGCAGAATTGTTTGCAAAACTCACTTCCTATTAATTAGTGCTTTCCTGCTCTATAGACGTACAAAATCAGAAACATTTTATTGCCCGGTAATATTCCGAATGCAACTGTATTTGCTTTACATGAGACTTCCTTCATATAGCTCTGCTCCAGAAGCCAATAAATGTAATAACACGAAGCAACAAGAAAACGCAGACAATAATTCGACATCTAACACATAAATAATGACTGGAATGTAGGGTCATAGGGTTTGCATGCTTCAAAAAAATTGATAAAAATCCAGCAAACACTCGGATAAAGCACAATGCATATTATAATATAATTAATAAAAACACGTAGATTGTCTGTGAAGTTCAAATGACTCGAAATTCAATTATTACCTTGAGGAGATACATCAACAAAAGTCCATGACATAATAATTTAACCACCACCTCAGCCTGTAGCAAAGCCTACTTCGGTTGATTCAGAATCCGACAGAGGACGAAGAGCGAAAATAGCTGTCTTTACAGCTTTGGCGCACTCTCCGGCTTTTGGTACAAGAAATCTGAAAACTGACAGGGTTCAAAGATGAAGAGAAGAAGCTAGCAAAAGTCTTACCTGTGTACGGAAGTGATCTTCGACACTCCGTTGACTTCATAACCAAATTTGAATGTCAACAATTCGGGCACTTTCTTCTTGCTCGTGACTCGCAAAACCGAAGATAATGGGTGTCGAGCCTCGGTTGTAACAACGCCAGGCTAAAAGAAGCATGACATCAAGGTAGATACTTTGTCATTCAAAGGGTTTACCTTCTTATCGACATCTCTCAATATGTGCATGTGAGTTCGAGTGATGGCAATGTGTGAAGGAATCATGACTTTGTTTTCTCCAAGTTCATGGCATTGAAAATGTTCGATGAACTCTGCTTGATCCGCAAGCACGAGCTGAATACGAGTAACATATGGCACTAAGTGCGACTACTGTTGTATTTTTGAGTTATTTATCTTCTCAGTCCATAGCATGGCCATTCAAATGGCATTCACCTGACTACGTCCACTGTAATAACACGACCTCAAAGCCTTCGATCCCAAAGATACAAGGAATTGAGCAAATGATGCACGAGCTATAAATTCCCTGCTTGAGTAAAGGGCTTATAAACATGCAATCAGGTCCCGGTAAGTCACGAGCTCATAAACTTTTGTTGATATACTTTGAAATAAATCATTGCCATGTTCTTTCCAAGATATGCTAGATTCAGTCCGAGACTACGATATTTACATCCTGGAGGCCATCCACATTGGATTTGGACAATATACATATGTATATACATATTATCTCTAACAATTAGGAAAACTGTGAGGATTTATGTGCGATAGTCCTTATGTTATCAGTCGTCTTCCAGGACGCCAACATGACGACTGGGTGT